AAGGGATAGGGTAGTATTGGCGACAGAGTGATCTCATACACGTATTCAATGTGATGAATTTATATTATACCTTACAAGGCGGGAACAACCATAAATCGCTTCGTTGGGGTTTCTTTCACGAGATAAGCATTGCATATACTAGGAATAAGGTTAGATATGGTACGTTGGAAGAAAGTAAACGGGTCACATCATTTACCCGGAAAGTGGAGATGGTATTGACTCATATGAAGACCGGCAGAGTAAGGAGCTACTAGCCAATAAACTGGTGAATTTTCGTAAGTATTGTTAGAGTGGAACTGGTGTAGCAGTGTTGAGCGGCGCACTTCCACCCACAAGGACAGGGATCGAATCCTAATTCGATACTTGCCCAAGCCAAACAGACTATTTATTTCTTCAGAATCTGTGAATTGACAGTAGAGTCATCTGGAAGAGAGCCGACTGTAGATCGCTTGGCACTGCAAGTCATATTAGAGGCCCGATAGATATTCAGAATGCCCGTATTCTACCGAACGGAAGGCCAATGGGTGGGTCACTTCACAGTCGGGGCTAGTCAGCGCCGGAGGACTTTGTCCTTCATGGTCCTTAAAACTGAATAGGATCCGCTATAAGAATCTACTTGCTCCCCTCCCTTCACCTTTTGATAAGTGAGTTTGGATATGGGGCTGTTTCCGTGGGCACCGAACACTATTAGAAAGTGCAGTGCGCACATTCTCAGTTCTGAAGATTATGATATGAACCTGTTCAATATACGACTTACCACCTTCTTTTCCCCTAGGGAGCATTCCTTCATCCTATGCCCGCCCGATGCGACGCAACAATCGGGAGGAAAGATTGCTATCGCAATTTATTGCTCTATAAAAAAACAAATCAAATATGTCAGATTTATTGAACCCTTGTTTTTTATGCATATGATATATCCCTCAGTCTGGGCGCCCATCTATCCCCGCACGACGTTGATGGTGTTGGTACGCATCATCGTGGACAGCGTCGCAGCAGGCAGCTTTTCGAAAATTGAATTCGAACCACACGCGCCGGCCCGAGACGAATTTGTTTGCGAAAATAGTGCAAAACTCAATCAAATATTTCCTTGGCCAACGAAATTGGCGGTTTCGTGCGAACGAGCACATCTCATGGATGTTGTGCACATGTTGTGGGTATGTGCCGAGGCATTATGCGCATGACGACGACGAAGGCGGCAACGTCATCTGAACGTCCTCCCCGTCCGAAATGATTTGCATACCGGAATGAACACTGAAAGAACTGAAAGAGTCCAAAGCTACGAAAATGAAAACCCGTTTTTTCAGCCAGTAATCGACCTAAAATCGACGTACATGCTCATGTACTGCCAAAACACATTCCGGATTTCCAAAAGGTCAGTTTTAGGTCATCTTACATGGGCGATTTTTGTTTTGAGAAATTATTTTAAGGCGTAGGTACTATAGCTTCCAAAGTAGTTAGTGTATGCTTTACTCCAAAGTAAAGACAAAAAGTTTTTTTTTTTTTTAGAAATTTGGTTACCCTGGATTTGTAACGTTGGATCATCGTGAAGATGGCACTACGAACATGATGAAAGATGGAAAACTTTTCAGGTGTGCTCAAGCGATTTTTGACGGATTTTTCATGGTCTATAGGATAATTATTTTTTGGAAGGGAAATTACGTTAGAATTTCTTTTCATTGTATTCATGTGTTCATGAGGAGGGGGAGGGGGCGGAGGAGTTCGTGGAGGGCGGGACTTTCTGGAATGGTTTTTCTGTACTAAAAGAATGGCAGAATACAATAGCACTATACCGAGTACTGATAT